GCGCGGAAGGCGGTTACCGTCGGGTCGGCTCGTAGCTTAGGCTAGGGCGCCAGGCTTTGGCTCGAAATAGCGCACCCGAGCAGGGAAGAATTCCCTTCTTAGACTAATCCTCCGATAGCTTTACAACGCTGCTCCTTGCTCGCAGCGTGTCCCTTGCCGTTGTGGTCGTCCTGACTGAAGAAAGGGAACAGCCCCCCTCCCCCAAAAACAACAATGAAAAACCCAACAAAAAGTCCCAAGCGACAACCCCCCCAAGTGGAACCTTTTTACATCTTTATTTTGGTGTTAGAATCACAGAGACAGGGCTGATATGTACATTCCTCTTTATTTAACACAGCACGGACACATGACACGTAAAAAAAGAAAAGTACACTCATGAAAAAAAGCCTGTCGCAGTTAGGGACAGGGAACAGCTACGCTGAATTGAGTAAGGCTCCTACTGCAGAACAGGGGTCTGCCGGCAAGGTTGGGTCCCAGAGCAAAGTCTGCTGCCAAAATAATCTTTGCACTCCTTTCAGGAAAGCAGAAAATAAAAGGGCAAGTCCCTCTCAGAACAGGTGGAGGCGGCCTTATCTGCAAGGTTTGCAGGATACAAACCCCGTTACTGTGTTTGGACCAAAGCACGGGTAAAATGAGAAATGCTCTCCAGCTATTCTTGCAGAGGGCCGATAGTCCTGACCTCTGAAAACATCAGACTTCTCAGGAATAGCAAACCTGAGTATCTGGAAGGAGTGAAAACATCCAAGTAGTTGCACAGAAGAGGGTTAAAATTAGTCTCCCTGATCCAGCTCTGCTAGCCACAACTGGGAATGTGCAAGGGAACAAACCGGCTTCCCAACTAACAAGAGACTAACAGCCATTAAACTGACCAGAACAATATCCACATTTGGAACTGATGCAGGCTTTTGTGGCAGCAGCTTCTTCCTTTTCCTGCTTGAGTTCAGGATGGAAATTAAGCAGGCACCAGTTCCTCTGACAAAGAGCCTTACACGCTTTTAAAAAATTAAAATACAAAAAAAGGGAGACAGGTGTATTTACAAAATCCATGGCTGGTACAGTACATCATTTTTAAGACACACTAAATGCTACAATCTTTCAGGTCCTGAGATTATTACAAAAAAAAAAAAAACAAACCAACCCAACAACTCAAAACTTGCGTTCAGGTCCAGTTTTATAAGGAAAGAAATCACACATTTAAAACACAGTATCCCTTGAAGTTACTGGAACACACCTCCCTAAAAATCCAAATGAAAGTGGTGCTAACCACCCAAATGTAGCTGCATTTGGTTGTTCAGCCTTGCTGTCACAAGAGGGGAGCATTTCACAGGGGAGTTTCTCTGGAGTAAGCACACGGCTCTTGGGATAAGCCCTGTGATCTGAAATACACAAGTATTAAAAGGAGGAAGGTGACCTTGTACAAATTCATGCTGGACTGAGTAAAGCATCACAGGCATCACCAACTCAAACAGGTTTGCCATCTTGTAGTAACTGCGCATTCCTTTGTTTGAGACCGAGGAATGCAAAGAATTCTAACTGTGATTTAACATTGGTTTATAATAAAACACTTGGCCGTCTGTTTGTTCCGAGCTACCTAGTGAAAGGCAGGAAACCACTTTGTCTGTCTGTTTCTCAGCCTTTCATTGTCTTGGGGATCACAGCAAGCCAGGTAGAGTTAAGCTGGCTATATCCAAACTTGCTAAAATATATATACACACACACTAAAAGTGACACCAAACAAAGAATACGGAGGCCAAACCTCTGTCGAGGGGACGATCCCCACTACCACCAGCTGTGCAGGCAGGTATTTGGACGCTCTGTTCTTGACCAAGCCTCAACAGGGAGAACTAAAGGGACTTGCACCCACCCCTCTTTTTTTTTTTTCCCCCCAATGAAATATTCCGAACACAGTGCTTTTGTATCCTCAGAAGTTATCGCCACAGATGCCCTTTTATAATAAGCACCTGACTTTAAACTAGAGAATGCCAACATTTTAAGGATTACTCATGAAATGCTTCTAACCCTCAGTAAAAGAACAAACCAACCCAACAACTCAAAACTTGCGTTCAGGTCCAGTTTTATAAGGAAAGAAATCACACATTTAAAACACAGTATCCCTTGAAGTTACTGGAACACACCTCCCTAAAAATCCAAATGAAAGTGGTGCTAACCACCCAAATGTAGCTGCATTTGGTTGTTCAGCCTTGCTGTCACAAGAGGGGAGCATTTCACAGGGGAGTTTCTCTGGAGTAAGCACACGGCTCTTGGGATAAGCCCTGTGATCTGAAATACACAAGTATTAAAAGGAGGAAGGTGACCTTGTACAAATTCATGCTGGACTGAGTAAAGCATCACAGGCATCACCAACTCAAACAGGTTTGCCATCTTGTAGTAACTGCGCATTCCTTTGTTTGAGACCGAGGAATGCAAAGAATTCTAACTGTGATTTAACATTGGTTTATAATAAAACACTTGGCCGTCTGTTTGTTCCGAGCTACCTAGTGAAAGGCAGGAAACCACTTTGTCTGTCTGTTTCTCAGCCTTTCATTGTCTTGGGGATCACAGCAAGCCAGGTAGAGTTAAGCTGGCTATATCCAAACTTGCTAAAATATATATACACACACACTAAAAGTGACACCAAACAAAGAATACGGAGGCCAAACCTCTGTCGAGGGGACGATCCCCACTACCACCAGCTGTGCAGGCAGGTATTTGGACGCTCTGTTCTTGACCAAGCCTCAACAGGGAGAACTAAAGGGACTTGCACCCACACCTCTTTTTTTTTTCCCCCAATGAAATATTCCGAACACAGTGCTTTTGTATCCTCAGAAGTTATCGCCACAGATGCCCTTTTATAATAAGCACCTGACTTTAAACTAGAGAATGCCAACATTTTAAGGATTACTCATGAAATGCTTCTAACCCTCAGTAAAAGAAGACTACAAGAGACAAATCACGTAACAAGGGTACTAGTTTAACTGCTAAAATATAATGCTGCTCAGTAGAGTTTTGAGGGTAAAAAGTAGTAGTTTTGTAATTTTTTTAAACAGTAGTCCAAAAATAAAATTTCTCCATCTATTTCCAGTATGGATCTTGAGAACTATGCGAGGACATGGTACTAATTGCTACATGATGGAATCACCGGCAATGAAACACACACTACAGTTCTCACCTCTGAGCTAAACTGTTATTTGTAGTTACATACAAGACTAAAAGATCAGCGAGAAATACCTGGGGACCGCAATTTAGCTTTTATTTAAAGATCCAGCTACCATGTAGCCAATAACTCCCCGTGTTTAGAAGCAACTTAATTTAATTGATAAATTTATTTCATTCACTTCTGATACTGGAAGGAAACCTGGGATGTCTCATGGTTTCTCCCCAGATCTAACCTGTACATTACAAAACATTGCTGCGGCTTCTTAAACCAATTTTGAGAGCTGAATATCCTAAAAAAACCTCTCAAACTAAAACCTGTCACAAGAGGTGATTTTAGCTTCCCTCTTGAAGCAACTTCATGACACTTGACACTAGGTGTTGCACCAGTGAAAGGGTTTCTTTTTTAAAATACAAATTTCTTTCTTCACGTTAGCAAAAAAGACTTCTGCAGTACAGACATTCAAAAAAATATTCCATTTTCTTTGGGTAAAACTTCAACATGTGTTAAGAAGGGTAGCTGGGGGAAGGAATGCATGTAACACTGAAACACGTAAATACTTATCTGCATAGTTGATATTAGTGACTACTAATGAAACTAAGGCCTTATCTGGAAAAAGCTGAGAACAAAAGAAAGTTTATTCCCCCACGCCCCACTCGTCTGGTGAAATCTGGGAAGTCTCAAAGAAGCTCTGGCTGCCTCCGCAGCTACTTGGTTTGGCCTGTGATGGTGGCATCTCCTGACTGGTTTTGGTTGATTCTCTCCCTTTTTCTCTTGGTACTAAACAGTAACAAACATAACTAACTGTCAATAAAATGCATCTGCATACATTGCTGGGCAATACAAACAAACAAAACCCCTTAGTATTGAGCATGACAGGAATCAAACATAGTGTACACTGCTTGCTTTGGATTACTTCACCATAAAGAAAAACTAGTTAATGGTTATTACTTAAGCAGATGATGGCAATAAAGAGACTGAAATTCACTTCTAGATACAAAACATGTATTTTTTTTTTCTCCAGAGTTGCTCTATAGAATTATAGCTGTCAAAAATGGCTACAAAATACAGACCTATATCCTTGACTACTGACAAGATTAGCACAGTTTTATTTATGAGGAGTGTGCAAAAACAGCTGTAGGGAATCTTTGTACTTCCCCAGTTTTGGGCCAGTTCCAGGCCATGCTGATCTCTCAGCGTAACTCATAGCAGCAGCAGGGCTTTCTATGGCCCCAAAAGGCTATTACAGCAGCAAGGGATCACCGAGTCATAGAAAAAGGATGATGAAGCCACACCAGAAGTTTCCACAAACAAAGCATTCCCCTACACAACAGTTATCTTTCCAGTGGCCCAGTAAGCATACTTCTGGCTGCTTATTTTGGCAGTGATTTCTTAAGCAGTAGACAGACAAAGATTTTCACAACAGCTGCATTTGTTAAAAAAGACCACAACAGTCAACCATCATGACCAGCTGTAGATTCCCCATCTCACAGATCACCCTAGGATAAAAAGCACATGTGCCCAAAATAAATTGAAAAGAAACAGAAGAGCCAGGTTAGCTCAGTTTACTGCCACAGGTGGATATGGCAAACTCCACGGAAGTAACTTCACTAATGCACCTACAGCAGATTAAGAAGCACCTTCACTATCACAACTGGCTAAGCTACCAGCAATAGTCCTATCTTTGACTGGCACCATTAGAGATTGGTAGAAGAAATCCTAGTTTACATAAAACAGGTTCACTCAAACATATGAAGACAAGCTAAGAACTGAAATAGCAGTTGGGCTATTCTCTGCCACACAAACATGTTGTATTTGATGTCTTATTTTCTGCTCTCTAGCTGGGTTCTCCGCTTACGAAGGACTCTTCATTCCATTTCATATTGCAACTCAAAATTAGATCTTCCCTGGGGAAACACATCACAGAACTAGCACTGTCTAGTGTGGCGTACATCTGTTACCTTAAGTTCAGCATGCATGTTTTCAGCAATCCTAAATTGGATAGATCCTCAGCACAGAATTGTTAAAAATCACTAGATGAGCTATTGCAGATTGCTAATTTTGTCAGAGAACAAGGAAACAAGCACAGACACTGTAATCAGGGTTCACTTGCAGCTAATAACACATGAACTTACATTATAGTAAGAGAACAAATCATTAATGAAATCTCAGTAAGTTGAGAAGAAGTACAACTAGAAAAGTACTTCATGGTGAATGATTTAGGCAGTATGTGAATCATAGCCAGGTTTAACTTCAATTAGCAGCTGCACTCTTCCAGGTTTTATCAAATTCCTTCTTACAAAGTGACACTTTGGTAAATGTGAGAATCCTTGCAATAACTGGTGTCAAGCAGACGTGACCAGCTGTGCACGCGTTTCCTTGCAATTCATCTCAACTCAGGCTTGTTGCAGGCTGCTATTTTAACTTTCTCCCCCCGCCCTCCCTCTTGGGGTTGTCAGTCACACATCTTTGTCTCAGATTCAGTAATTGTGTGAAGTGGTCCAGTATTTAATAAGGTTGCCAGACAGGGCCCACAATGTTTTACTCGTGACCTAACAAAGATCCAAATTTAAAACCTTCAGAGAAAAATGCAAGAAGTTTCATTCCCATTGGCCACTTCCTTTCTCTCATGCACGCTTTTGCGCACTCACACACACACACTCTTTTATTGTACTGCCATCTTTGCACCAACGTTCACCTTTAAGTAAAGTGTTTAACGGAGCCAGCAGAATGCAGAAGGACGAACACGTTCCTCAGGAATATTGCTGTATATGTGTGTGTGCGTACATGTGTGAGTGTGAGAGAAAGAACGCACAAGCACACAGAACCAACACCAGGGTACAGCAGCTATGAAGTTACACACGTTACTTTTTTTTTTTCTTTACAAAAGGGAAAAAATAGTATAACAGCATAAAGCCATCTTGGCAAGCTTAAGATTTTCCTCCAAAATGCCTTCCAGCACTTCAGGATCTCTGAGAACAGTTTAAAGAGGGTAGGGAAATAAAAATAAAATAAAAAAGGCACTTAAACAAAGGACAAAGGCCTGAATCAAGTAAGTCATGGAGGGTAACAGCCATTTCACCAGAGCTAGGACCAATCAAAATCTACCAACCTTTTTTAAATTTCTATAAAATTAAAATTGCATAAAGTGTTAATTAATTAGCCATTTACCTACTGCTTTCACCTTCTGGTTCATTTTATGAAAAAAAAATAAAACAAACCCAAACAAAAAGCAAGTGTCCCTTTAATGATTTCCCCCCAATTCAGCGAAAGATGAAAGTTAGGTGTGGGAGGAAGCCTTCCACAGCTTGGCTTGGCTGCAGGTTTTCCCTGCAATGCCATCTTCAGAAAATGTCCAAAACAAAAGCAGAAGAGGGACCACTGTGCCTTCACCAATTCACTCCAGAAAAAAAAAAACACACCCAACCCAAACACCCCAACGCTTCTAATCCATCTGTGGGCAAAAACTACTCAAAAGAATACCAAACCAACTGTAAACTAGATTAAAATTTGCTAATAAATACAGCCAAAAGTTCATTTTACGAATGTAGCAGCAAATGTGATAAAGTTAGTTGGAGTCCAAGATGACTCCCAGAGGGTTAATGGTTCACACAACTGATGGCAGCTTGGGAGAGTTGCAGGATTTCTCTGTTTTCATGTCCTCAAGGGTCTTGCACCAAGTGGAGAAGGAGTGTGGAGGAAGGGTCAGGTGATGGGACTGCGGGAAGGAAACAGGTTCTTGGCACCTGTCCCACCCCCAAATCTGTGCATCAGACAACTTTGATCGGATTCAAACAAGAAGCAGAACCCAGGTAATTAAAAGTTACTTCTGATTAGCAGAAAACAGATGTGAAACCCACAGCATCCACACTTGTGACTTAGTTGATTGGTATCAGTCATGTATCTCAAATCAACAGAGGAGGCTGGACAAAGTGATTTAGGCCATTTGCATCTTGGAGTGGGAGAACACTGCAGTCAATAGTCCAAGGTATCAGGAAACTTTGCAGCCTGTTTTTCATCTAGCCTGCTTTCTTTCTTTGCAAGTATCTTGAAAGGATTTAAAATAGCTACCACGACTTTTGGGACTTTGGATCATGTAGCGGAAAATATTACCCAGACGGTTTTAAACATCTAAAACCTGCGTTTGAAATTATTGCTTGCGTTTGTTTGGGGCTTTCAGTGAGCTTGTCATGTTAGCTCATACACAGTCCCCAAACCAAGTTCAGCCTTGCTGTCTGGAAAAAGACAGCTCTACTTGGCTTTCTTATTGCTTGTGAATACTGAGGGTTATTTAGTATGTACAACTACAGTTTATTTATTAACAAAGGCCCTTAGAAAGGAGTAAAAACTTGGGGAAAAACATCTTCAGAAGAGCTGCTGTGCAGAAAATAGTAAAACATTAACTTAATTTTGCATTTGGACGTTGCAGAAATCTTTCACTTCCCCATCTTGTTTATGCTACCTGCAAAGGTCTCTGGGAGCCACCCTATTATTTCCTTTGATTTCGCCTTGCTAGGTTTAACCAGGGAGAATAGGGAACATAGACCCTTTCATCGCTATGTTGCTGATTCCAAAGAAGCTCAGAGTGTAATGACTGAGCACAGTTACCCTCTGGGGGGCTGTTTGAACTGGCTTCACAAACATGTATTTTTATTCTCATCATTCTACTACCTATTTCCACATCCTACTACCTATTTCCACAGTAAGTATTAGTTGTTTCCCAAGACTGAGAAGCTCAATAGGCCACACAGACAGGACTACTCCTACCCTCCCCTAAGATTTAGAGAGGATGCACCTCAACTGAAGGTGAGGCATACTTCCAGGAAGAGAGGAATGTTGAAAGGAAATTTGTGCTGTAGTTATAAAGGGCTCCAAGTCTCCCAATCTAAAATTTCATTAAGCATGAAGACAAAAGATGGCAATTTGAATGAGATGCCTTGATGAGGAAAACACAGAAGAGGTAGAACTCTCTTAGGACAGGGTCTTTTAAATATATTGCTGCCTGATGGCTCACTGCTCCAACTCCCTTAGCTACATGCATTGTTAAGAATTATCAGGTTTGACACAGTTCAGAGAATTAGCATCCTGCCAGAACTCTTAGGCCTCAAAAAACAAAAGTTGTCTTCCTTAAGCCCTTCCTGGAGAAAAAAGGGGGAAAAAAAAAAAATCAGATGAAGCTTGCATTCTAAATAGTTTATGGTATTTTGACACAATTTGCACAGTATTAAGAATGCCAGAGTCTATGTAGCTGCGTGTTTCAACTCTAAATAACCTTGATGATGCAAGCTTATCTAATCAACACACCACATACAAAACATGAGCACTAGCTAAAAAGCATTTAATTGGCAGATGCTGTGGAGTGAAATTAACGAACTAATGCGTCTTATTTTAATTCAATCTGTCTTTCACAGAAGTGTTGTGCAAAAACATTTATTGCTGAGCTCAACCCAACATTTTTATACTAAGTACACAATATATATTATTTTAAATTCACGTATATATATTTATATAAAATTAAAATGAGCTCTAAATAGAAAAGAAACTGTTGTCTGGTCTAAGAAAAATAAATCACATGTAAAAGAAACCTGAAAGCTATAAGTTAATCTAGCAAAAAACCACTGATGATTTATTATCCATGGGTCAAAGTCTCTCTGGAAGGTGTGAGATAACCAGTAGTCACTGGTTCAATCTCAAGTCAAACTACTGGAAAGATTAGCTACTAAGAATTTCAGCATCTCCGATCAAAGGAATGTTTCAGGGTTGAAGGAGAAGGGCATCATACTATTTTATTTGCTCCTTTCCCCTATGATGTATTTCAGTTTCTGCCATTCTCATCTTTTATCTGACAGCGCAAGGGATTCAACAACAAAGTTCTGTCCTAGTGTTGAAAGTGCAACGTGTGCTGGATACTTCCTAACCTTACAAATTAACCAGTCAATATATTGCTATCCAAAAAAAAAAAAAAACCAAGCCAGCTTTGCAGTCTTGTGCTACCATGTAAGGAAGAGTTCAGGTCAGGAACTCCCCAGGCCAGCAGGGGCTGGAAATGCTGGAGAAAACCCATTCAGCCGCCAGAAGAGAAGGCACCTCTGGTCGCTTTTTGAACGACTCCTCTTTGGCTAATGCCTGAAGCAGTATTAACCTGGCTCTGGAATAGGTCACATCAGCTTTCTTTGACTAACAAATCAGTATAATGCATGGCTTTTGGGAGGAGTTAGATGAAAGATGGGAAGATCTAGAATGAGTAAAGAAGTGGTTGTGTTTTATAAAAAAAAGACGTGAATAGAACATTACTTAATTTTAGTAGCAGATAAGCACAAGGCAAAGAAAAGTTTAACAAATGGAAGGAATGAAAAATCAGTGTGCCTTTAAAAAAAAAAAAGATGTGGGAAGGAAATGCTAGTCTAACCAATGTGTTTCCTTTTCATGTAAATGGAAGAATTTCCATCCCCTTCCTCCCTTAAATAAGAATCTTTATATTAAAAAAAAAAAAAAAAAAGAATCAAACAAGGAGCAAGGGATTTCCCAGTAGTCTGTCTCTCCCATCTCAATGTTCCAGGAGATCTGTTTTTGAAGACAACTCTCTAATGAGACTGCATACATCTGTAGGCTCCCTAAAGCCAAACAGCCTTATAAAGCTGGAAAAATGCCCGTTATCAGAAACTGCCTTTGTGTAAGGGTTTAGTTATAACGCAAAGTATCCCAGCACCACCTCTACATAACCTTTGGTCCACAACCATATATTACACTCGGGACCTACACAATCTTATACTGGGCACTTTGGGCACTAATGAAGTGGATGATTCCACCTTACATAATGGATGGAGAAACCTATTCTAGCTCCTCTCACACTTTCAACTCTTCATTGGACATCACCCAGGAAAAAAAAAAAGTTTGTGCTGCTGTGGGTTTGACGATCAATTTCTCTTAAAAGCCAATCAGAGCAGATAAAAAAAAGCTTGTTTCTTTAGGCAAGATCAAACTATGACCAGTCTGCATGACCAGGAGGACCAGTCCTCCTTTTCCTTCTCTCTTTGATCAAGTATTGTTTTCTTTTTCTTCTTCCTCTCACCACAGTGCTTGGGATCAGAATATGTAAACATCGACAGAAACAGCAGCCCTGTGACAATAAGCACTTTCCCAACTGGGCAGATTCTGTCAGCCAACCAGAACTGCTTCAGCTCCCTTGCTTGTCCAGAAGTCACTGGTTTTTCCGCTGTAACTTAGTGTCCCCTTTACTTTGGCCTCCATCTGTAGTTTAAAAGACAGGAAAAAGGAAAAATAAAAGCATGAGTGAACTTTTATTTTTATAGCTTACAGCACGAGAGACAGGAATTTGAGATGTTCAGCTTTAGCATCACCAAAAAGTACGGTGTCTTTATAGGATGGAAGATTTTGCATCTTCTCTGTGGTTCATTTATTAGAAGTAACACTGTTGGAACCTGAGATACAGGCTTCATACCAAAAGATACCATCTATCGAAAGATTAAGTTGCAGCTTGGAATACTGAAAAACATTTAAAATCAATCCTTTTTTTAGAAGCCTTTGCATTTTTAGTATTCAACCCATGGCACTCACTGTGACAAAAAATTAAGGTTGTGCCAAACAGCCAATTGGTTTGTTATCACAGCTTCTTTGAGCAACACTGCCCAGTTTTTTGGTGCTAAGAACAGGATGAAGAACCCCCACCAAACCACTGCCACCCTTTCTGTTCCTTCTCCTGGCAAAAAAACCCCAGAACACTCTACAGGTGGCAAAGAAAGGAGTACACTCTGAACTGCACCTTCCAAAGCTTTATGATAGTGTTTCAGCTCTAAGCCTTACAAACAGAAAAAGGAGATGTTCTACTTCATGCTTCTCGTCTCAATCAAGGATAAGATTTCCAGAGAAGGCAGATCTTCCATTAGGAAACCATCACACTGTTAACGCTTCTAGCTGGAAGGTCAGTTTCTCCTCCAAAGGACAAATTAAAGTTGAATGGAAAAAACAATCTCACCAATACAGATTTTCTGCAGCCTGTAAACAATCATGTTAGTGTCTCGTAAGCAGTATTCCTTTTACCCCCAATAGTTGAATTTGTACACTTCGGTTTCTAGAACTGCTAAGAATTAATTAAATTTTTGAACCTTTTTTGTTCTTGACATTGAAGACAAGTATAAAGAAAACTGTTCAGGTTCCAAAAATACTGCTACCATACAATGTGTACTGTCTGCTGCTACCAAAGCTTGTCCCCCATGTTGTGTTTTCTCTAAACCAATTTCAGTTCTGGTGTACATTTTATTTCAGTCTAGGGCAGAAATGTGAAAAATATGTCTTTACCTGTGTAAGCTTGCTGCAAGTGAGCAGGCAGAGGTGAGTGAGACAGCGTTGCTGCGTGCTGAGCACCTGGCTGTAAACCCTTCAGTAAGTCTGGGGGGAAAAAAAAGGAGAGCAACAAAGATGATGTCTTAAGGACTGAGGCAGCCTTTGTGAAACAAAGTCTTTGTTTTTAGTGCAGCTGTAGTAGCATGCTAATTTGTACAGATTTCTGAAGATTTATCTCAACAACAAAAAATAAATACCTGATAGCTGGAATAAGTCAAGAGAAACAGACCTATTCAGGTATGGTTAATCAAAAGTCAGAGCAAGGATCATGCCTCGCTATTGGGATGCAACTCTTCATATCATTTCCTTCAGCAGAAAGACCAAAAATTTATATAGGTTAAAACCCTGAAGAATTTCTTTTTAAGCAATTGGAAAAAATAAATGCCACATTGGTTGATACTTCCTCATAAGAGAACCGTTTGATATTAGAAATTACTCACCTAAAGATATTTTGAGGAATCACCATATTAAGTCTCTTATTTGTGTTGTGACATTTGGAGACTTTTAAGCTATATTCCCTTCTAAAGACACGGGATTAAAAGCTAACCTAAAAAAGCATGTTCAAAACTAAGTATATACTGTAAACGTAACAATGAAGTTAAGCTCAAAGGTGATTCATAACATTTGGATAATTACATAATCAAAGTTTTACCAGCAAAGAAATCATGTTTACCCTCCTGTAGGGATTTTCATGAACCAAATTTGAGTCTCAGAACTTTATTGCTTCCCTTCTTAATTTCTGTTTTCAGCATGCATCTTTCCTTATAGCACAGTGGGATAACTAATTCCACTCACTCTGAGTTAGGCTGTGGTGGAAAGCCGCTGAGGTAGATCCCGAGGTGGTTGTCACTCCAGCTGTGTCCGTCCCAAAGCCAAGCAGCTCCAAGGGAAACTGGAAGGGCACGGTCACAGGAACAAGGCCACCCAGCATCCCAAAAGGAGTTAATGGTGCAGATGTCACGTTCTGACTGGTTACAGACAGGGGTGATGCCATGAGAGTCAGAGGTGAGGCGTTAGCCAGTAATGACGCTCCTGCTGTTGACTGTACAAAGAAAAGGCGTATTTAAAGATTTTAAAGCTCCGAGTTGTTTTCTTGAAGGAGGTAAGAATCAAGCATTTTCTGTTAAGTGTGGCCCTATTAAAAAGTGTATTAAACTATTAATAAATATCCACTTATCCACCTAGGAGGTCTTCCCACTGTTCATCTGCTAAGCAAATATAATTATATCTCAGATTCATTATATCTCAGATTCAGACATGACAGTATGGTTCATCTCATGTTTTTCTCATCAGCCTTGCAGGTAATTTTGTCTATCTCCTTTCTAATTATGCACTGGGTCTACAGTCAGAATCTAATGCAACATCTATTCGACTAATATTACAAAATTATCAGATGTAGATCTGAAGTTCTTTAGAAGCACAGTATTACTCTCTCCTCTCCAAGTCTGGGTCTTAGCAGAACACTAACTTTATTTCTAAAGAGGTTGCTTAGAAGCAATGATTTTTTTGAAAATTAAGATTCATACATAAGAACCCCCACACTTTGGGAAAAGTCAGGTTACCAAAATGCAGACATACATATGCATGCATAGGTGTGTATCCACATGTCAAAGCAAAAGGCAAAGGAAAATCTCTCCACTCTACATATGTCACAATGAAGTTAAGTCACTGTAGTTTAAAAGTGAAAATGCAAGATTAGCCAGAACAGTATAGCTACAACAGCTCCCAAATCACATTAATTCACCTAACATTCAACAGCTCATTCTTGTTTAACAATCTTTCCTTCACTATGCATATAGTTATTTTATATGCTAATGTTCAATTCTTTAATGGTCTACTACAAAACCATTAGTATAGAAAGCATTTTGAATCTGACTCGAGCTTGATATTTTAGATATTTGAGTTAAAGACTCAGACTGAACAGGAGTTCAAACCCATACATTTATACAAATAAGCCTTTACTAAACCCAAAGCTTAGAATCATTTTAATGAACACATGAGCTTAAAATGAAAATGAAGTCTCCTTGAGTTCTGGAATATCAATTTACAGAAACAGCAAAGTGATGAAAACTCCGAGCAGGGATGAAGTTTCTATCACCGGTTTTGGTCTTAAGGTGTTCAGATAAAAGCAGCTACAGAAAGATTAGCTGCTGCTTACAAGAAAACACAAAATTTTAAACCCATAACCCTGTAAGTGTAAACAACTACAGATGTGATGTTTGTAGCAAGTGTTTGTACTGGTCATCTTAGGCATGACAGCTTCTGAGACATAATCCATCCCACAAGTAGAAAAAAAAAAAAAGGATGAAAACCATCATGCATGATTATTCTCTTTTGCCTTTAAAAGTACTAATTTCACAATAAGCCTATGTACAAAAAATTGCAACCATTCTATGTAATCTTTACTGTGCAACAAAACAAAAGCCATACAGTATTCTCTTGCAATCGTGGATTTGTAAAATGCCTAAAACCAGAAAGCAGCTCTGGAATGTGCTCTGCCAAGACCTTGCCTACTCTCTCAAAAAGGAGGAGAGAACTCCAGTGATGGGAAGAGCTACAGAGAATGCCTTAAAAGAGTTGCAGTTTAGATGTTTCTATTTATCTCACCTATGATAGCACTTCATAAAAGGGTTCATCCTGGTCATGTAAATCTGAGTCACTAAGATCCTTAAAAGTCTAAGCTAGGTTCTGCTCAAGAGTACTAGTGGTAAGTAAATCTTTTAAAGGAAATCACACTTTGACTTTCTGTTCTTAAAATGCAACTTAATAGATTATTCAAGAGTAAAATTTCTGTGGAGGTACAGCAGGTGTAAGCTTATATTCTGGTAGATAACTATCAATCCAAAGGGGAAAGAAGGGAAACACTTCTTGGAAACTCTTCCTAGTTAGGAACATCTTTATCATCACATGAAATCGTCTAGTCTGATCTTCAATGTAAGCAGGCCAGGATATTCTAATGAGCAACTCTGGTACCACCCTCATCTTCTGACCAATTAATAATATCTCAGATAGGAATTAAATCCCTAAACCCTTAATAGAAAGGAGATTCACTTTCAGTCTTATGCAAAGTTTTAAGAGGGGTAAATAACACCTTAGTACATTGTACCTAACAACTAGTCTGGAATTAGTTATGTTCAGCAGCCAGCCATTAGATCTTTAAGGCTAAGTAAAGCCCTCTTATCACAAATCTCTTCCCCGTCAGTGTACTTGGACTATGAAGTAAATTGATTCTAATCTCTTGAACATACTCCACTGACTAAGTCTCAGTCTGCACAGTAGCAACAGCCTTATTCCATGGTTTATCTTCCTTGCACCACTCTTCTGAACCATTTCTAGCTTGAAGTAACTTTTGAAGTGTTAAAAAACCCACATGTAAAGTCACAATAATTATTTTAGAGATACCATATGCTGTGCAGTACCTCTAGCAGATTTCCTCCCCTTCTATATACCAATACACCTTATTTTGCTCTATTACAGTATGCTATGCACTCATGTTACTTGATAATCCACAACACCCCCTCCAGTCCTCTTCAACACCATGGTCTGCCAAAACAGATTTCATTCCCCGGGTGATCAGTGTTTGTAAAACATATTACTTGCCTTTAACTACAGGAAGGTTTGCCAGAATTTATCTCACCATCCAACACAATACTACTTATTTCCCTTGTCCGTCATTTTTAAGCACTACCGCACGCATTTCACATTTTCTTCTACATCACAGCAATTGTATCCACTGGATTCTGTCGATTGCACCAGGAAGAAGCAACTCTGTTCCCAGTCTGTTCACTGTAGCCTTTTTTTGTCTCCTTCAGGCATCTTCCAGAGTACCCAAACTGCACTGTATCTGGCTCAGCTCAGCTCTTCTCTAGGCCCTATGTGGTACCCCAGTGGCCCTTACACAGCCTATGGGTTGTGTTTTTTTCAGAGTACCTAAGATAATGAGGAGGCTGTGTCGGAGCCTGCCAGACATTTCTTGTTTACTGTAACAGACTTAAGGTACAGTAGGATGAAAGACCATAGAAATGTCTTGTAAAAACCATCTTCTTCCCGTTAGTCAGCTGCATGAATAAAACTTTGATAGTAAGCTAAAAGATTATAAACCATTGCTAAAACCTGAGTATACATCACTACCATGCAATATCTACGTACATTGTTCAAAAAAATACAAAGCTTTCATTTGCTGTACACCAACACTGATTTAAAGCAATATTGCTTTTCTTTACTTAAGTAATGAAGACTTCAGGACAGAGAGCGCAATAACAATAGAGGAAAACCTCAAACTGTCTGAGTAATTAAATCATTCCCAGGAAGAAAGCACAACTTGGGAAAGCAGGTTGTCTTCTGGGTAAATAATAGGTTTGCATGGGTTTTACAACAACAGTATTTTCAGAGTATTTGTTTTGTATGACTTTTTTTATCTCCAGTGATAAAGTTCTGTGTAAGCGCTCTCTTAGACAATTTCTAGGATACTTATATATTAATGAGGTGTCTCGTTCAGTTTGACTAGATCCTACAAAATAAAATACATATTTAATCACAAATACTAAAGAAAAGCCCTTGCAAGTGTTAATTTTAAACACAAGTCTTGCATTATACTCCAACCATGAGCAACTGAACTCTAGTTTTGCAAAGTTCATCATGAAACTTGGCAACAAGTGTACCAAGACACCATTTCATATGACCACCCATCATTACAAATAAGTAAATACGCAAGAACACACAAATCCAATAACACAAGAAAATACCACATCCCCTGAAAATATGGTCACACAAAACCTACCTTTTCTAGTGCTCTTAAAAAAACCCAAAACCAAACAAAAGTGAATTCTGTTCCACAGTATAGACCAACCAACATTTTACAGTGAGGATCTGTTCCACACTGATCCTTGCATTTCGCATTAGCTGGCAATAGCTATTCACTAGTGTGAAACAGTTTCATCGCTATTAGCATTTATGCTTAGTGTATATATATGGAAATATTCATGTAAGGTTTAAATGTAAACTCGTACCTGCACACTGGCTGCTACAACTGGAGACCCTGAGGCAGAAGATGGTCTGTGTGGAGTTGACAACTGTTTAGTAGCACCCTGTGTTCCACTTCCTGCTCCCCCAGACAGACTAGTCCTACTAGCTCCACTTGAGTTAAGGTTACTGCCTCTGCTGGCAGGTACATTCATTCCAACTCCACCCAAATTATTTTTACCAACAGTTCCAGAAGGAGAAGAGTTGGGCAATTTTGAAGATGCCTGAGGGTTCTTTGCAGGCTGAAGGCCTGAGGTGCGATTAGAGGGCAGCAAATTCATTGTGGGAGACTGCCTGCTGATATTTACACCACTGGTCTGTTTATGAAGGGGGTTGTTGCTGGAGTGACTACTCTGGGAAACTAGTGCACTTGAACTGGAAGAACTGGGTGTTGTTGCAGGCCTGGGGGATGAGGTGGACTTGGATGAAAATTTAGGCGATGCATTGGGCTTGGGTGTCACAGAGGGCTTAGATGCAGTGGGCTTGGGAGAGGCAGCAGGTTTGGGAGAGGCAGCCATGGAGAAGGGAGGCTTGAAACCCTGGGAAGAAACTTGTGACACCATAGCCTTGGCTAAATAGTTACTAGAGGTAGAGGTGCTGGATGTTGTCCGAGAAACCAGTGGGTGAGACACTTGAGAGCCACTTGCAGATGAAGGATTAGACAAAGGTAGGCGATACACTACAGACTTATCTTGAGCCTTGATGACTGGTGATGAGCAAGACAGTTTGGGATTACTACTCAATTTCACCACTGGATTGGTCTGTGATTTACTAATAGTTGCTTGTAAAGGAGATACGTATTTCTGCTGTACAGCTGAATGCTGGTGCACCTTTGTCACTTGTGATGTTGAGGAAGAACCACCTTGAGCCTCAGAAGATGATACCAAGATATTAGCATCCTTGGTTCTTTGAGAGGTGGAAGAAATAGCTGCTTGGGTCTTAGAGGAAGAAACGTGAGTCTGAGAAGAGGAGGAAGCAGCTTGGATCTGGCTTGACCTCTGTAGTCCTTGTTGAAGTAGTTTGGCTGGCAAAGGCTCTAAGGAAACCTTAGGATTTTGAATTGAAGATCCAGCAATAAGGCCTGAAGAGATACCAGTGTGAACTAGGTCCTGGGGTTTCTTTGGTACTGGCCCTGTGTGACCAGCAATAAGACTTGATGAATGGGGTGTTTGAGTGGGCTCTACTTTCTTTGAAGTTGCCAGGGGCAACTTACTCATAATGCTTGCTAGTTTCTCTTCCCTCAGCCCAGGGCGAGGTCTGGATGTTGGTGTGTCTATGGTGGACCCAAGAGGCGATCCCTTGGCACCATTATTGATAACTGCCAGAGCATCAGAAATAGAGTCCAGTGAGGGTGGGTGGAAAGAGAGGTCTTCATCCAGTGAGTCGTCCAAGCAGATCGTCTCCGGAGCTGGTGTGCAGCTAGAGCTGGCTGGGGTACAGACAGGTGTGCTGGAACTCAGTACAGTAGCGCAACTTGAATTGACTGAAGACATACAGGTTTTCTGTTCTTTCTTTGGACTGGAATCCTGAGAATGAAGAGAGAAGATAGGTTTAATAGCCTTTTTGGAGTAGATTAAAGTCTTTAGTGTAGTACTATTATTCTGTAAATTCAGATGAACTGAAGATCTACTATTGAAATTTTCATATTAAGATAACTGATATCTAGGTGTTGAAGTCCCGTGTGCTAATTCAATATTTGTATTTAAAAACCTAGTGCTATTGCTCCATGTAACTAGAAGTGCCCCACACAGTTAAGAATAATCAATGCTGTGAAAAACAGGGTAGCTAATCTGATTGCTAGGTAAAATTGCTACTGAACTAAGACAACACCTAGTCATGTCTAATGAGACCCTCTGTCAACTTACTACATTATCCTCCCAACCACACATTTTTCCAGTGTTGCCAAATTTAACACAAGCTGAAACAAACAAAGCACACATTAAAAATGTGAAATTTTACTGGAACTAGTACCTCTTCATTGTCAATTTTAAAAAAAACTAATATAGCTTCAAGTTACAAAGCTATACAGAAGTCTTTTATACTACTGTAAAGTAATACACCACCAAGTCAATAAGCTCTTACAATATTTCCTGATGGAACCCTTCTGCCAGAATTTTTCTGGATCAGAGGCAGGAAACAGGTTGTATCAGATGGTCATATAAAATTCAGATATCTAAATAGGCATTTACCTTCACTTTGGGTTTAGGGGCCAGAATCACCTTCTTCTTTGCCCTAAACCAGAGGAGATACATGTGCATCAAAAGACAAAAGAAAGGTAAGATGTTTTAGTTTTAACTGTTACCCTGATTATATCCCAATAAACTAGAAGAATGACTGCTGAAGTCCAGCTTTAATAATAAAACATCCTTGAAACAGAAAATGGGTTAAAACATTGGGGGGGAAGAGAACAAGCACACTTTTAATCCATTTTTTTTCATGTATCTGTAAGTAAATTAGATGCAAAATTCACTGAATTGCTGATATAACCTGATATATATCAGGAGAGGTCTTTAACTCCTTCGATTTAGAGAAACTTCAAAATGCCAAGTCATTTCAGCCTCTTATAAGCTGAACAATAAGAGCATAATAAGAAGAAAATAATAATTCGATAATAAGTTTGCCTACTTAGCAGAGCTTTGTCTAAACTCAAATCACCTGTAATAGTTATATAATTTCACTTTACACTGATGTTTGTCACTGAGGAGTATACTTTGTGTTCTCATTTATATTTCAAACCACATTAAAAAAGTTGCTATTTTTTCCCCCCAAAAAAGTGTTTTGGTGCTTATCACCTGTGAAGGAGTAGTATCTAACTTCTGTTTGTTGCAAGAAGCCATTTAACAAACTTCCAGGTTGTTTTGCAGTGTAAGTGAACACCATAGCACCGACTGCAGTTATGCAAGCAAGGACAAGCACTAAGGATTATTAGTCATCAGTTTAACATTGAAGTTAAGCATTTCACACCTCCTTTTCTCATTTCTATTTCTTCAAGAGGATCAACAGATTTACAACTTACAGGTCATTCATTCTCTTTTGCTAAGCAACTAGGTAAATGCCTGGTTAAAAAAGACCTTACTGTAGGTGGACCATGACTCAGTTTTGCTATTATGTAGAAAAATATCCTATGTTAATCATATTTATCACAAAGATTGCAATTTAGGTGTTATTCAAAGTTGTAATTGTTTATTTGAATTCTGGCTGAATACAGGCAACTCAAGAGGGACACAGCCTTGTCTGAAAATCAAGAAGGTAAAATTCTGCTAAGATACACAGCCTTCTGCAGTTACAGAGATATTTACGAGGAAAAGAAGTGAGCAGGAAGTACTGCAGTCTCTGAGTTCAATTTAATATGCTGCACAGCAAAATTTTAGTAGTGTATAATGCTTTGAAATACTCTGAGTAAAAGGCATTAATTAATCTTAATTCATTAAGAATGAATATCCACTTGAGTTATCTAGCCACTTCATAACCGAGTTAAAATATAGTGCTACAAGAACATTACAGTTATATGTCTAAATTAAAGCATTACAAAAAATTAACAACATTGTAAGTCTCTTCAAACAAATCCCAAAATATCTCCCTTTCCTCCCCCAGCATGAAGATGGGAAAAGATGCTATGAACAACCTAAAGATACTAGCAAGTTGTGAATATTATACTCACGGAGCAGAAGTGAGGTGATTGTGAACACTTCGGCTTTCTTTAAAAAGCATCCTAAAAAGAATGGCAAGAAAAGAAACATAAGGTGATTCTACAAGGACAATTAGCATATGACAAAATATACAAGTATCCTTGAATTTCCAGAAGAATCCTTTGATTATCTGTCCCCAAAGCAGCTAGTAGGTAGCTTATCTGTACTGCTATCATGATGCAGTTCCAGGCAGCCATAAAAGAAAAATATATCTATATTTCAAGTTTACATTCAAAATACTTCAGTAAACAAAGATTATCATAAACTCTTAACAGTATGTGTCCGCACATTAATCACTGGTTTGGGTTTTGTGGTTAGTCTATTGTGGTTTGTTTGTTGTTTTGTTTTGTTTTTTTTAAAGCACAGAGGAAACTAGTCAGAATACAGTAGCCAAGCTTGTTTCTAATTTTCTCCAGTATTTTGTATAGGCCATTGTGTACCACTTCTGTGACTTCAATTACACTTAGATTTACACATACATTTTACTACAGAATCAATGAATGGCAAGAGTTGGTATGACAAATCTCAACACTTCACATGCTTTTATTTTCATGTTATCAACTCCTGAGCTGACAAGTGGAAAATGAAAACAATTCCTGACCCGTACCTAACCCCTAACCTACAGCTTACTACCCAAATGCAGCTATAAATAGACAATTAATGAAAACTATGTCCCCTTCCCTGTTTCCAGGTAGGCAAACTAGAACAGACAAGATTTTCTTACACCACTGCCATCACACTGACCACATCACTAACAGCTGTCTAAACAAGAGCTTTGCACCACTGGTAACACATCCTGTAGAGCTGCAATAGTTATGAAAAACTCAAATATGCACAAATCTCATGTAATCTGGTGAGAAAACATTGACATCCTCTCGCTACAGTTCCAATGCCTTCCTTCTCAGATTCCACTTTCAGCTCCATTTTCACATTTTCTTCACTGTACTACCCTCCAAATCTGCATTACATTGCTCCGCATCAGAGACTACGGAACGCCTATGAAGAACATCATGGAACAAAAGGAACATTCCTCATTACAAGTTCAGTGTGCCACTTTCTGACCTACCCAACTTCTCCAGAATATTTCCCTCCCCACCTCCTTCCTGGTGCTTTGTCCATTCCTTAAATCTTTTTCATTTGGGAATGAAAACCCAAAATTTATCCCAGGCCCCAGTAATTTATCCCAGTAATTTGTAGCATCAGCCTTAAAGGTTCAAGACAAAAGCTTAACTGCTACAGGAACAGAAGTCAGAGATACGGTACAAAGAAAGGACAGTGCAGTATATGTTCCAAAGAAATAACACACTTTGAAAACAATCCCTCCATTGCATACATAAATTTAGATGTAAAAGTTGATGAGATTGTTTCTCTCTGATCATGATTTCAAGTCACACGTGCCGTTGGACCTGTGCAAAGTAAGCGTGCTGCAAGCTTACTTGCATGACCACCTCAAAGATGATGAAACTCTTGGAATTAAAGGAAACAGATTTCCTGTTCCTTACACTTCTTTTTTGACCACACACATACTTTGGTTGCAGGCTTTTTTCAGACACACATGGAATTAATATGCAACCCAGTTACAAAAGAGTGAACTACATTACTTGAAAAAGCTTTGGATCCTTTAGGACACGAAGTATTTCTCTAAATCCATGAATATTAATAAAGCAATCCCCTGGGGAAGAGTATGGAAGCTACACACACAGAAAATTCATGTGACAAATGTAGCTGTGATACACACGGACAAATGAACAAGGTGCAATATAAAGTTCTGATTGACACCTTACCTCATGCTTCTTTACTAAGCTATGAGGAACATAAAATACAGTTAACTTTGAAAGAGCAACAAATTTTTCCTCTGGGCTGAACCCATAAAGTTCTGGTAGCATAGACCTACTCTGATTAGTAAGAATTCCGTATGAAATATATAGTCAGTATAGGTATTTTTAACATAAACCAGTATTAGTAGTATATGCTTGAATCAAATGTGTAGCAATAAATAAGATCCAAGAAATAGTTGACACCTGAATGAATAGATATATAAAGCTGGTATCTTACCTTGCCTGCATCCAGCCTTTAGGCCAAAGTGGTTTCACTTCCGTTTCCATAAAGGTTTTGAGGTAATCTTCAGCAGACTGACTTCTATTTGGCTCTAGCTCATAGCATCCCAGCTTGATCTTGACAAGGTTACACAACAGAGACCTGCAGAAAGAAACACAATAAATACACTGAAAGCAACAATCTTTTCAAAAGCGCAGCAGAGAAGGCTGAGAAATGAAAGCACTGATGCTATACAGCTGCTGTCCATTGCCAGTTCTAAGAGCTCAGTGCCAGTCGTGTTTTTTGAAAGTTTGCCACGTGTGCTACTACACCTGGTATGATCTGCTACTGTCACTTCTCTATTTCCAACAGACTATATAGCTCATTTCTTTTCGTTCTTACTATCATTTTGTAATTGGTTTTACATTTTCTTTGTGGTTTCCTCATAGCTGAAACATCTCTCACTTTACTCAGTGACCTCCGTCTCATAAGAGGGAGAATGTCTGAAAGCAAGTGAAATCCGTTCTACACTAAATATTTCAACAGAAGATTCCTTTTGACAGGGATGCTGTCTTTTTCTGTCCTTAAAAATATAAAAGTGCACACAGTTAAGTAACATTGACCTTTCAGAGCCCCTTGAAAGAAAAAAACCCAGCAGATTTAAATATCTCTTCTTTAAGTACAGCTCCCTCCAGGTCAGTCCAAGCTATACTGATTGTATATATTCCATGAAGCTTGGTTCCCTGTGGTCTTAACATACTAAAAAGACTCAACATACTAAAGACTCATCACATTCATCAGCCCCTTTTAACAATATGTATACTTGTGCTAAAATTAGCTTAGTTATTTAAGGGGAAATCACGAATTTAGAAGGATCTGCTTGCTTAAAAGTCTACCTAGATTATTTAAATAACAGTAATCTGTTTCCAGTAAAATCTATTCTAGGAAACAGAACATTGAGAATTAATCATTTCAGACAAGAATCTGTGTTGCTCTTGAGAGATAACAGAATTTGTGTTCAGAGGGGATGGGAGGGGCTAAGAGTCATGCTTGCCAAATCAGCATCGCCGATTTTGCTGGTCTGCTCTATTGTGGCAGAAATCTTTACTGCTCATTGGGTGAGAGTGTTTGACGACCTGTTCCTACAATGGTGGAAAGCAGGTACAACTCTGCTTACACCTCTATTTTTTGCTTAAAGAAGCTCAAAGTCCTAGGACCAGGAAAATTCTTATGTATTTGGATAAAGCAGACAAACAAGCAGTGACGAAAGGGTTGGACATAGGATGATCTTGCCTTTCAAGTTAAAGAAAAGGGTGTTTTACCATTGCAGCATTCTAGCTTGCCTATTTAGCCCCACTCTCCAAAACTTCTGAGGTGTACTCCTGAGAACGATTATTACATGATACTATTCAATAAATAACATTCCCTTGGAGATCCCTTTATGAAATCAGTGAAAATTCTTGGTGGAAAAGTTAGTTTTGTCTCACCTCACTGTGTCATCCCAATGAAACTTCTTTCTGGGTCCCACAACCCTCTTTCCAGGTTTCTCATCATCATCTTCCTCAGATCCATTTTTTTCTCGTTCATCTTCCGCTTGCAACCTATGGTTAGAACAATTATTCTCTTTATAGATATATAACACAAACAAAATGTTTCCATAAGAAAGGAATGTCATTTTAGGTGTTAGACAAAAAAGGACCTGTCTTCAGAGTCTCGTTATACACTTCCTGAAAGGGCACACTGTTCATCTTCCTCTCTCCACTGCTTCGTGATTCTCAGAGACAAGTGAAAAGGACAAACTGTATGGATGCTATCAGGATGCTGGCTATAAGCTTAATGTAGTGCCTCTACTAGAAAATGGCAGGATGCTTACTAATCTATTAATGCTTTTCCATGTCTAAAATGAATTAACTATGAAGGAAACAATTACAAAGAACACGGACAAAATATTTAAGGACCTGAACACACCATCCTCCTCCATTAATCCAGCATTTTGAGAATCTCCAGTATCCTTCTCACAGTTTAGAAATTCTTTCTCTACAGACCTATTTCATTCAGTTAATGGACTTTTTTCTAGAGTCAAGTGATAAGATCACTTACACAAAACTAAATACTTCGTACAATTCAAAACTTACAAACACCTGTAACCTGGAGCAGAGTACTTTGCTGAGCTCAGGTTATGAACAACATGGAGACAGACTTCCAGCTGGATTCTAGAATGGGCACACACAGACTCCAGAAATACCTACTTGGCATTCTTGGCTTGATTGCGGGCCTGACAGTCCTCTTGATACTTGCATAACTGTTCAGGCATGACGTTACTCACAGCCAGTTTCAGCTTTTGCAGTGGTTCTCTCAAGCGGTCATCCTGTGAAAAGAGAAACAGCAAAGCAGTCCTATTAGACGCAATGTAAAGAGCGTTTCTAATAGTTTCACAAAAAATATTTCCTGCTCACTCCTGAGGCAGCATTCCCAGTTCTAACTATTGACTGCAACAGCCATTTCCTACATGGTACTTGGATCCTGTTAGGTGCAACAGCATTATAGAAATGCATGTCTTTGAAATTTCTCATCTAACTCATGTAAGTCTTGAGACCAGAAACAATCAAAGATAGCCACAAGGAAACATACCATGAATATCCCAAAACACCGTGACATTAAATAATGCTTTTTAATCAAAATAGGGAAGGAAAGGAAACCTGAGGAAAAAAACAAGATGACTTGACCGATGAGTATGTCAACACTTGCAAATAAGTGTCCAATTAATCAAGTCTCCAAAAACTCTGTGGTACAGAAACATCCTTGGTAATTAACAAAATATATGCATTGTATTATCTAAGTATTAGATTACTGTATGTAATTCACGTACCTCAAAGGTAAGGACTATGTATTAGAATTATCTTCAATTATTAAGAACTTCAAACGTTAAAGTAATAGACTATAGACTTCCCTACATTTTTAAAATTCTTTCCACATTTTCTGACTTTACATTCTTAGTAACTGCTTATTGAGAAGAACAAGAATTCTATGTGCTACTATGTCTTACTGCTTAGAAATAGCATATGAATCTGCTGCCTTAGCAAGTTCTGAGATCTCTGCATTCATGATCCTCAGATCCTCTGCAAGATTTACTCCTGCATTTCATCTAAAGAATTGGGCCAGGATAATTCAGATCACAGATAACTTATTTAAAGAATATGTTTTCATATTGAATAAGTGAAAAGCAGCTGCAAATGACACAAAGTATTGTAAGACCTAACCACAAAAGCAAATTTGCACGAACAGTACAGGCTGGGTCATCTATTATCCATCTAGCCCTTCTTTTTTCTTGACACAGAAGTGAATGCAATAGTAATTTTTTATTAGCCTCTCATAACCATGATTACTGTGGCTTTCTAGTTCTGCTACTTTGGTATGTACCCTGTATCCAGCTTTCAAGATAAAAAGCACTTAATTCTCAAAGGGTCTGAAATACTTAAAATATTTGTTCTTAAAGTAGTGACAATAGCAGATACACAGAAAAAAGCTTTTAAGCTGCTCTAGCAACTGATCCAAAAATCTTTGCTTTATTGGAGACTGTGTGGCTGTTGCTCTACTGTCCTGCATTCTGTCCTCAGCACTATTATGTAATTGACTCATGCTGGAGCTAATCTCCTTGTCATTACCTGGACATTGAGGTGTAGCTTCTTCAGACGCTTTATCAGTGTGTCCTTATTGCACGGCACAAAAGCCTCAAGGTGAGAGTACACTCCATTGCGGATGGCAGGATTTATCTCCTGTAACTGTAGCTCAATACTGGACAAACAAACAAGACAGGCAGCCAGTGAGGCACTCTAAGATGAAGATGACAACTGAACAAAAACCTAAGAAAGCTTTGTATGCATAACATATTCTAGCTATGCATGCTAAAAATAGCAGCAGGGACATTTTCAGATAAACTTTTTTACAAGAGGACAAAGTCTTAGTCAATGGCAAGAAACCATTCATATACATACTTCTCCAGCAATGTTGAACACTGTCATTCAAATTTCATTTACACCCACCATTGCACATCAATCTTGATACAATTTTGACTGCTACAGTCTTCTAGAGATTACTTTTTGTTTCTTAAAATACGAACATAGAACCTTCTATATTAAATGCTTAGTTGAAGGATTACAGACTAAAAAGAGCTGGCATTTTCCTTCATGAATGCTGAAGGGGTTTTTTTTTGTGTGTGTTATGAAAGTAGCAGACAGAAAGAAATAATGGGAGTTTTGTTGAATTTTACACATGAAGTCAAGGACACAGGGCACTACAAAACACTTTACACTGGATAAAGACAGACAGATAGTCATGACAGGAACTGTATTCGTATATAAATCTCTTTAGCTAATAACTAGCTTAGACTGATCTACCTTCATTGACTTTTAAGGGCTTTGTTGGAACAACCTCAATAATATTTCCTCTTCTGTACTTTTCCTTTCACCCCCTTTCCAAAAAGGGAAGGTTGTACAGATAAGCACTTACTCCAGCAGAATATTATTCATGTCTTGCGTGAAAAACTTCTTCCTGCCTTCTTCATCAAACATCTTGGCGGCCTGAAAATACAGCAATAAAGAGTATCCAAAAGTTCGTAGCACATTTTATCCCAACAACCTTTGTACCTTTACTTTTAAAGAAGTATCACATTCTTATTTTCCAGAGAAGAGCATTACTTGGAAAAAAAAAAATAAACAAAACCAAACTATGCTCAGCTGTTTAGAAAAAAAGATGAGGATTGTTATTATTATACTCAAATAAAAACACCTTGCTCTAGGGCAACCAATCATTCTATTTAGAATCTGCCTGGATCACTGATGTTAACACATTCATCTTTTCAATAACCATGAAGAAAATGGGAGAGACATTTTATTATCTCACCACCAGCAACATTCCACTACCACTGTCTGCTTTAAAAAGAGGAGCATTGCTTGACAAGTCAAGCAGGCAAGAGCATCAGCACATTTCTACTCTCAGTCTATGAAAGGCTCCTTTTCTGCCTCTGTCACATGCCTCACGCAGTTGCAAGTCCCAGCCTTCTTAGATCCATCTCAGTCCTTCACTGCAATTTCTGCAAAGGGATTATGTGTGCTAGAGGAATACCTCATCCCTCTTTTCTGGTGCTTTGCAGCATTCTCATCATCTTTAGACTACCTCTTTTTGTCTGGTCTCTTCCTGAGTTATGTCGGGGGGGTGGGGTAGAGAAGACAGCCTTACTCCTACACATACATCCTTTTAGTATTAGTTTTTACTGATCTTGCAGGAATTCCCATGCAGAATTTCTTTATCTTTGTTCTTATCACCTAGATTGTTATTTTCACAATGACAGCTTGTAGGAGAAAGCCAATTATCTGTACCATTCTACAAAAATCAGTAACAACATCTCTCTAGTATTCATCCACTGTGCAGATTTATAGAAGTCAAGAGAAAAAACCCTCGCTTTTAGAGGCTTATTGTCATCTTATATTCTAGTACTGGGACCAGACAGTGAATATCTAAAGGAGCTGGAATAGGATATGCATGCAGAAAAGTAGGCAAGCGTGGTATCATTACAGTGACTGACAAACATTAGAGGTAGCCAACATGCCACGAGGTTGAATATCCAAATAAATTTAAAATGTCTAATTCTGCCTTTAAAAAAAATTTTGTGACTCATGACAACATAGCTAAAAACTACAAATAAATGCAAGTGTTAACTTAATAAAAAATCCTTTATTACTATGAAATACTCGCCATTCTTGCTCTTTGTAACTTACCCATTTAAATTGGAAAGAAAAGTATTTTCTGGAATTTTGAGCTCTACACTGCACAGGAAAATAGGAATCTGATACTTTATCAGAAACCATAAGGTAGCCCATTGTCTGAATGCTTTACTGCTTCAGTCATGAACACTAATACCAGAGTTTAAGTTCCTGTAAGGACTGTATTCTGCTCACTACTTTCTACTGTAAATTCAGCTGCTGAGGGCATGGTACTACCTGTTTAAGAGCACTGAAGTATTTGTCCTGCTAAAAAAGTTAGAAAGGTTATAGATGTCTACAAGTGACAGGACACCAAAGAGACAAGTTTGAAACTCTTAAATCCAGTATCTTTAAGCATAATTAACACAGGGATTATCATCATCTTCTGGTTTATATAAAAGTGGCAGATATGCTTTGACATTTTCGTCCCAGGTAGACCTTAAAAGGCGATTTCAGCATTATACCATCACACTGGACAGTGTGGCTGGCTTTTGAAGAGAGCAACATTAGTAGATTCAAAAACTGCAGTGCTATCACTGAACTGTGGTTTTGGGTTCCCACACACACACCCCATACATATTATCTTGACAGGTACCTTCACAACAGAAAAGAGCCATTTTATTACTTTCCTGCTTCTGTACAATATTGTCTTCTGTCATGGTAGTTCAGAATTGCCCACTTAGGAAACTAGAAGACATTAATCTACAAAAGGAAGTCAGGAAGTTTTTAATGTATCCAGTCAGTGGCCTTCTAAATTTCTTTTTTTTAATCTAGATGTATCATACTCCATTCATGGAACATAGGCTTTTTCCTACAGCTTTATAAACTTCTTAGCTTTTTTTGCACTGAAGAGCTCTAAACTGTGAGCCTGGTAGGTATTTAACAAGACCCATTTCTTTTTTCCTGCTTTTTAGAAGATGTTTTCCCCCACTGATAAGGTGTCAGTTGATAGCAATTTGCAGAAAGCAAGGAACTTGCCATCTTTAAGTCAACACACAGTCTAGTTTTTCCCCAAGTCTATGGGTAGACTTGCTCTGCTCAGCCAGGCCCAAACTTCTAGAAGCCATTATCAAAAGCAGAAGATAGAAGAGCTAGGTTTTCCAAGAGCCATTGAATTAATGCTTTCTTCCAACTGGGTGGGGCTTGTTACACAGTGAAGCAGCGTGAATTTGGGGCAAGTCACTAACACTTCCTGACTTTGGGCCTAATCCAGTTCTTCTGCAGTTTTGCTAGAAGCTTATTGTTGATTCACTGCAAAATTAACCTGAATATTCAAAGGCAGACAAAATCATCTCTCACTTAAGTAAATATTAACCCCTTGGCTGTACTTAGCTTGGTACATTTAAAAGTAACTAAGAACACTATAGGACATTTACAAAGAGGTAAGATAAACATTATGTTTTATCATTACTCTAACCTGTAGCAAAGCAAGCTCTGCTACAGGTTAGTTATTTTTTTTTCCCAAAAAGGTATTAACTTGAACTGCTTTTTCAAAGCTTACTCCGAGTAAGGAAAAGCTGCACTTTATTCTGAGTAAGGAAAAGCTGCACTTTATTCTGAGTAAGGAAAAGCTGCACTTTATTCTGAGTAAGGAAAAGCTTTAATATCGGAATCTGGACAATCAACAACAAATTTATTCTCAACTTAAGACAACATCCAAAAGTTAAACAAGGAGCTTATAATACCTTAATAACTCTGATCCCTTTCAATAAGCTACTGGGATGTTGGTAACCTGTGGATTTAATACTTTTCATTAATATTTTTGATGAGTTTGGACTCCATTCTAGCCTTCCAAAAGAAAATACTTGGTTTTGTGGTTGTGGGTTTTTTTGTTGCTTTTTTTTTTTCTTTTCTTTTTTTTTTTTAAACTGGCAAGTTAGGATTTATGTTACAAAGCCAAAGCCAAAAATTCAAGACATTGATTTGTAAACTGCAGTCATATTTCAGGTTTCCTCCTTCAAAGTAAGAAAACGCCCAAGTATTTCATCAACTAATAAGTTAAAGTAACACTGATGTTTCCATTATGGAAAAAACCCAAACAAACAGTACAAGTTATTGTACACATAAGATTTAGAACACCTTGTCTCCACTGTGAAACAAACACTGCTTTAACAATTGACCTGCATCACCTCTGCTCACTTTCATCTCAGTATAAATACAGCCACTAAGATTGACATTAAGGTCAATTCTACATTTTTTTACAGTTTCAGCCAGCAATTCAAGGGTGACAACTTAGGCCTGAGTTATTCTTCCTCGTTCTCTCAGGTTCCTGAATGCAATCCCTTACCAGTGAATTCATACTTACTGTTCGAAGGTCTCCAATGCGCTTTTCAAGTAGCATAGGTAGACCTTCTGGGAGGGCAGGCACCTGCTTGGGTGTCATGACCTGAGAGGTGTAGGTTGCCTGAGTGACATTTCCATTTTCTCCTGACAGCTCAGATACCGGGCTGCCATCAGAAGTGCCATCAAGCAACTTGTCAAAGTCAATGTCTCCTAGCATCTCCAGGGCACTTTCAGCTTCTTGCAGGAGCTCACGTTCATTTGTGCTACCAAAAATGGAGAGGACAGGATCATTGATCCTAAGATTCAAGTCAGAGATATCGTTTCCTGCAGTGAGAGAGGAGGAAGGAATTTTATTAGGGGTAGAGGTTGCAACAGTCACTGGAGGTTTTGGACTAGATTCCTTCTTCCTCATGGCTTCCTTCTCCTTTTGAAATTTACGGATCATGGCAGCCAGAGAGAGTGAGTCTTTATACAACTTCTTTTTCTTCTTTTCAGACTTGTGTGAATTTAAGGCCATTACTCTGTAGAGGAAAAAAAGCTTTCATTAGAATGCACATGACTTTTGAGGCCTTAGTAATCTTTAACAAAAATCTGGGAGTTTAGCACAATTAAAAAATTATCAGGGGGAAGAACTTTGTGCTTCCATCTTCAGACTATTCTATCAACTACCATAAACCACTGCTGGTCATGTGATTTCATGCTCTCCAACTGATTTGGTTTTTTAAGTTTTGTACACATTAAGGCAAAGGTTATTTACTTTTGACTTCTCAATTTAATTATGGAGAAGTTGGCATAGTTGTTAAACTCATGGCTGATCCACGCTACTAAAATACTTAAACTTGCTTCTCAGACTCGTGAACGTTTGCAGGTTGCTTTCAGTTTAGGCACACTGTGTACGTTAAAAAAATTCTCTTAATTGTTAAGAATTTTGAACATGCAGGCTCAACATCTATACGCTACTTAAACTGTTTTCTACCAGTTCATCACTTTGATGAATACTATTGATAAATTTTAAATACCAACTTGAATATTCATAATAAGGCAACTTTCACAGTTTTCTAGAAGCCAATTAAAAAGCCTTTATCCTTCCATGCCTGCCTCAGAACTCAGGAAAGCACACACAAAGTTAGAAAGAAACATGTAGAATAATTAAGCTGTGTTTATAGTTCTCCACATTAGAAACCAAAGGAAAAGAAGAAGAAAATTATTTTTCATTAGAAGATGTAATTCTTAGTGGTATATAAGCCTTTGGTTAGAACAATGATGGATAATGTTATTTAGAGCCAAAATTTCTTTTCTGTAATTTGTTTTATTATTTCTTGTTAAACATTTTGGGGGACAAAAAAATTAAGGTTGTAGGCCTTATTTATGCAAAAACCCCACAGAAATTCCAAAATCAAAATCTATTAGCTATTAATTATATTTCAAAACCACAGTATTCTAAACAGCTATGATAATCTTGCTATTGCACACAATCTTGAAACCAAATATCATATACAATTCAAGGGTTCATCTAAAGAAAGAAACCTACCCCAACTGCTTAGGAACTTTCATTTTCCGAGGCTTCTTCTCCTTTTCTGTCCCTTCATCTTTCCGCTTGCGCTTCTTCATTCCACGATCTTCACTTTCTTTTAACTTTGCTATCTAGAAAAGAGATCAAATAAAGGACAATGATTCTTCCACCCTAAAGGACTTCTACAGCATGAAACACCTAGTTTTCCTTATACCTTCCTGGCTCTGAATTGGAAAAATAAGTCAGTACATAAAGGCAAACAGTACCACTGGATTCCTAGCAACAATTAGTTACTGACAAGCCTCAATCATTACTTTTAAAAAGTTACTGAATTCAGGGTTTTCAATAATAAAAATACTTTAAGGCACACACAGACTGATGCCCAGCCAGTATGAGCAATAGCCACCTTGGAAGACTGAATCCCCCCACCTTCTTATGCTACCACAGTTTCACTGCTCAGTATGAAGTTACATAGTATGGAATATCTTTCTGACCAATTCAGATCAGCTGTCTCCCCTCCAAAGTTCTTGCAGATCCCTAGATTACCTGCTGGTGCAGGCTAGGAAAAAAAGAAAGCCTTCACCCTGTGCAAACATTATTCAACAACACAGAAAACTTTTGGTGTGTTAAAAACACTGTTTTAGTCACACATCCAAATCATAGCACCATGAGGGCTGCTAAGAAGAAAGTTAACTCCGTCCCAGTCAGATCCAGTAAAAGAACCTTAAAAATTACGTTAAATTTAAAGAATAGTAGATCAGGAAAGGACAACAGAAAGCAGGAAGTTCTTGAAATGGCAAGGAACTTGTGAATATCACATGCAAGCAATTATGTTTGCATTGATCATTACCTGTTAAAGTACATAGAACAGCACACTGTTTGGGAAAGACTGTATATATACTTTTTAATATAGCTATTCGTATGCGCTGTGTTTATTTTAACAAATATTGTTTTAAGTGTTATTCTGAGTATCAGGAACAGTTTCAGATCATGCAAGCTTTGTGCAAAATCATAAAAGCGGTGTTGGAGAATTTAAGTTCTCATCTCATATAATAAAACTATAAAATTACAGAATCATCCACCACTTCAAGATGGATCAACACAACTTGTCAGCTTGCCTAAACTGATGGTTAGTCTCACAAGACTGGACAGCCTGTGGACATGGTAAGTTATTTCCCAAATACTAGTATGTGAGCTGCAAAACAGAAAATGCAATAAAACAGTACTGTACATCATTCTGATTTCAGCCTCTTTATCTGAGCCATTCTAAGCGTATCAAGTATTTCCCAGGGTCTACCTAGCTATAAAATCTGTATAAAAAGCACAGTTAAGATCACTCACTTTAGGTGGCCTATGCTTTTTGTCTTCTGCAAAGTCTTCATCCTCCGAGTCAGATGCCTGGCGGAACTGCAGTGTACCAGTGTTGATATAAAACCCTCCATATTTGGTTGTCAGGGATGCAGGAACCAATTCATCATACTGGGCAGGAAAAAGAAGATTAGTTTATCAGCATTTCTTAATAAAATAAATATGTAGTTCATTTACCAGTCCCTATACATGAAAAATTAAACACAAGTATACAGCTTGCTAGAATAGAAACAGGACAATAATGCCATTGAAAACTCACTGACCAAGGCACAGAACATTAATATCACAGAATAAAACCTTTACTTTCAAAACAATGCTTTTTTCTTTTTTTAAGAAAAGACAGGATTACAGCAGTAAAGTACTGCTTTCTGAAGGAAATGAGGACAAATACACAGAGGCATTCCCCCCCACCCCTGCCCCAAGGGGAAAAAAAAGGCCCAAAAAGTTTTAACCTTTTTTTCCACCCCAATACTCTGTCTCAGAGCATGGTACATTGTGCTAGACATTAGATCTCAAGATACATAAACTATACGAACAATGACATACCACCTGCCTACAAGCAACTTCACTTGATTGTTCACTGGTTGTTTCTGTCCGGATTTCACAGGTTGTTTTTGCAAGGGAGACAGAGTGAATTATGTTTTCATCTATGACAGCCTTACAAGGCGTATCAGCAACATCACTGGTTGAAACCAAATTTTGTAAAAAAAAAAAAAAACAACCAAACAAAAAAAACAACAACAAAAAAAACCAAACACCACACAAAAAAACCCCAAAACAAACCCCACAAAACCACAAAACCCAAACACACACAAAACTAAAAAACAAAAAAACAACCACACAACCCAAAAACCTGCCTCTACTGATTTTAAATTTTAATTTTCACACTTCCATTGAGTACCCTTCAATTTTGAGACAATGTGCAGTTCAAATTACCTTCTGTTAGTCATACACTTATCACAGGCCTTTTAAGTTATCTGTAAGCAATAGCTACAGTCTTTTAGAGAACCTAGTTCTTCCATATTTTCAAAAAAGATGACAGTCTGAACAATCTCTACATTGTAATGGAAGAAGCCTGATCTGTATCAGAATTGGATGTTACATCCAGGAAATAGGACTGAAGATAGTTGAGATTGGTTTGTAAATCAAGCGTAAAAAACTTTTTCAGATTATATGCTTTGTTTCATTACAACTGCCACAGATTTCACTAATACTAATCTCTGCAGTGCACTTGACATGTTCAGAAGTTCCCACACACGCTACATTTAATACCAACTCTAACCACAGTGCCCTGCTCAAAACCCTACTTCTCTTAAAGTTCTCTGAAATTTTCTTTTGTTAAAAATGCTATGACAAATGACAAACTTAGCCACAGTATCTGTTAGCTTATTTACAATTTTAGGTGTTGAATATGACATTGCCTCTTATACAAGTAGCACAATGCCAGGACTTGTTTCATTGAAACTCAGATATATTCTCACTCTGTTTAGACAGTTTTAAAACCACAAAAGGTTTCAAACTCTTACACACACTTTAATTTGAAAAGCACTTTCTATTTATGAAGGAATTTCCAAGCTAGAATTACAAAGCTGTATCTCAAAAATATTGAAATCCAAAGACATAGGAAAAGTGGTCAATATTAAGTATAGTAGAAGTCAATATTAATTCTACTATTTCATGACCAGCAGCCTCCTCAGAATGACATTCTCCCCCAAATATTACCAGAAAAATGTTAAAACTCTAGGAAATATCTTGTTAATAGGAAACTCTCAAAAAGGCTGGGAGGATGAATAGATTCATTCTCCCTCTATGCATAAGTTTCAGCAAAGCAAGCCATGGAAGTGTTTGCAAGAGAACTGAGGGAGGGTTGCCCTGACAATACCCTTATCACTATGCAGAAAGACAATGTTGTCCTGATCTACTCCAAATTCAAACTAACCATCTTAGCTTTCAAATACTGACATTGTAAGATGGTGGACTTAATAAGCAACAAATACAATTCTGGAATCTATAGTCTGTCCGGAAGCATAAAACCAGGATGCCCAAGACATACACCTGCCAACAAAGGTAAGAAGGAAGCATTTACAGGAACTAGAAAGTATTACAAATGTACCAGAAAGACACAACAACAATCCAATGACTAAAAATCAATTTCTGTCCTTCTGAAAGAAAGGGTAGGATTTTGACACACCTCGGAGGTATGCACTCTGGCAGAGAAAAAAGTTGATTTTGAGTTACAGCTGCAAGCAATAAACATTTGGTAGCACAGCCAAATGATTAAGAGTTAAGTAAGATACTTGAGAAAGAAACAACACGTTTGTTATTATGAAGTTTGAACCAGCACGCCTTCCACTGCACGTCTGTTAAGATGGAATTCAACAGGCTGAATAAATTAGTAGGCAGTTTTAACTGCCACAACATTAACTGAAGACTTGAGATCACCTAGGTAAACTGAACACACACAGTGCCAAGTGGAGTGTCAGCTACCAGCTTATTTCGTTTTCCGCTGCATGCCATGCAAAATATAGCCAAGATAAAATGGCTTAAGAACCAAAAATTCTGGGCTACCAAAAGCATTAAGACAGGAAGAAGAATTATCCAGAAGAGAAAAAACAGTGAATGTATACTTCTACAAGGAAGCTGGCGAAAGAGCCTGAACTGGAGACCTATGTGGATTTGATCTGAATAAGCAGTTAGAAATTTCCATGAGTTTTCTCGTACCTTTTATCTTCCTGGAATGGAAAGCTTAACGAGCAGTACAGAAAGACAGAAAGGGAAAGGAAAAGTGGTGACAGGATCTATGAAATACCCTAAGATCATATGAAAGACTAGCAGAAGAAAGCAGGAGAATCTATTAATTGGACAAAATGAAAGCAAAGTGGCTTAGCTGTGGACTTGTCATTCATCTTAAGAGACCAGGACGATCATGCAAAGCAGGAGGTACAAAGTAAACTTGAGAGTGGAGGCTGGGTAAGAATTTCAGAGAAATCTGATGTTTTTCCACAGCTCTCAGAACCAGCTTCATTATGTACAAGGAAGATGAAAGGGAAAGAAAATAAATTATTATCCACAGTGCTTAACAGACAGAGCAGGCATTTCCCTTTTGAGCTGACAGGGTGTGAAATGAATTGGTGAGGTTGGGGCAGTACGGGCTCAAAACAGAAGAATACAGTAGTTGCCAAGTTTGAAGGAGAAAGCACACAATCAAAGCTGGGACCATTATCATAAAAAGTGAAGACCAAGTAAAGGGAAACACAGTAAAGACTTGGCTGCAGAACAGTAATGGAAGCCCTGGAGAACACATGAGAAAAAGTAGGAATTAAAGACGGTCCACAAGTGAGGAAGCCATGAATCACAGCAGATTATCAGAACGATCAACATGCTAAGTGGCACAGATCCATAGGAACAAGGCAACCAGAAAGGCAGAATTTGTTCAATATGCAGATGAACAAACTATCCCCTAACAGTTGGCAGGCACACAAGGTCAGCAGGATGTGGATGTGTAACTTACCAACTGAGGTTTCAACAGCTTCTGCTGAGGACTATGAATTTAGTCAGAATTTCAAAGACTTTTTGACATTCAATCATCTTTAACCTTTGAGAGTTTACTTTCCCCTACCAAAAAAATCAATTTGTCCTCAGCCTACTGAACAAGGTATAACTTAGAACTCAACATTTCATTTTATTTTCATCTTACCCAAAACTGGGGCCTGCAGACCACAATGTACCTAGTACCCCCTCCTTTGAGATAAGCTTACTTTTTTCTAGGGCCCTAATTGAACAGAAAATTTGAATATGATTGTATAAGATATTGGCAACAGCTAGATTAAACTTCATTTTAAAGTTTCTTCAGGACTCTCAGTTAAAGAGAACATGTCTCTTGCAACTTCTAAACGATGAACTGGGTTTCAAGACTTTTGCTTTGCACTAGCTTTTTCTGCATATGAAATTGCAGAAACAATCCTATTAAGGAAAACCGTTTAAGCCCTTTATAGTGTTCTGCTCTTCCTTATACATTCCAAGATTGAAAATTGTAATTCTCAGACCTATAGACAGACTTTAAATTTGACTGACTCCCGTGACCGTACATTTGTCCCATGAAAAATTATGGAATCATTCTGCAGATGACAAAATACGACTGATACATTATCTGATCAGTAGATCAGTATGCAAGTTATTTTTAACTATTGTCCTTGAGCTACGTTACTATGCTTCTAGTGCCATTAATCTAATTAAATGTTTAGGTGTAAAAGATAATTTGTTTTTTTTTAAAAAAGTTAACCAGTTTCAACTTCATTATTATACCAAGAACAGTGAAGTTTTATGGATTATGGGACCTGGGAGTCCTGGTAGATGACAAGCTGACCATGAGCCAGCAATGTGCCCTTGTTGCCAAGAAGGCCAATGGTATCCTGGGGTGTATTAAGAGGAGTGTGGCCAACAGGGCGAGGGAGGTTATCCTCCCCCTCTACTCTGCCCTGGTGAGACCCCACCTGGAGTACTGTGTCCAGTTCTGGGCTCCCCAGTTCAAGAAAGATGAGGAACTCCTAGAAAGAGTCCAGAGGAGGGCAACTAGGATGATAAAGGGACTGGAGCACCTCCCCTACAAGGAAAGGCTGAGAGAGTTGGGCTTGTTCAGCCTGAAGAAGAGAAGACTGAGAGGGGACCTTATCAACACATACAAATATCTTAAGGGCGGAAGTCACGAGGATGGAAGCAGTCTGTTTGCAGTGGTGTCCAGCGACAGGACTAGGGGCAATGGGTGCAAACTGAAACGTAAGAGGTTTCAGTTGAATATGAGGAAAAACTTCTTTACTCTGAGGGTGACAGAGCACTGGAACAGGCTGCCCAGGGAGGTTGTGGAGTCTCCTTCTCTGGAGATATTCAAAGCCCGCCTGGATGAAGTCCTGTGTAGAATGCTCTAGGAGAGCCTGCTTTAGCAGGGGGGTTGGACTAGATGATCTCCCGAGGTCCCTTCCAACCCTTGCCATTCTGTGATTCTACCAATGTAGTTCTGAAATCCAGACCCACAGTACATAGCAGTATCTTATATTAATATATTGTCTATTCTTGTGTTCAGATATTTTGATCATGATCCTCAGCTATTTTGA